TTTCTCTAGACTAAAAAGACTCAAGTCCCTCAGCCTTTCCTCATAAGAGAGATGTTCCAATCCCTTAATCATCTTTGTAGCCCTTTGCTGGACCCTCTCCAGCAGTTCCCTGTTGTAAACCCCAGCGCCTCGGGCGAGGGAGACTTCGTCCCAGAAGGGCATGATTTGCATCGCTTTCTTACGTTTCAGTTTGGGAGGGAGCAGGAGGCATCAGGGATGTCGTACCCCGGTTGGAATTTCTTCCCAGGCATTTCTTTAAAAAACGTGGTTTTCAGCCTTGGTGACAAACGCGCTCGCCAAACACTGCCGCACGTGTCCTCAGTTTCCCCTCGATAGGCCTGATTTTTTGAACAGATTCTTGCGAAGAGCATTTAAACCGTGACCTCTCGCTGCTGTAAGGTGTGCGGGGAGCCGGGTCCTTTCCAGGCATTTGGGCCGCAGCGTTTGGTCTTTCCTGTTTTTATTGGAGAACTTTCGGGAGGTCAGAGATGTGTGATTTGAGCTTTTGCCGTGTTAACAGATGAAAGGCTGCTGGGAGCATTAGGATGAACTTCCTTTGTGCCAAACACCGGTCATTTAAGTCAAACGCGTTTTAATGATATAAGCAAGAATTTAAAAGGCGCAGCTAAAAAAATCCACACGTGCCCGTCCGGCTCGCTCCTCGCTGCTCCGCCGTCTCCCTACTTGGCTTGATCTTGAGCGCTCCTGCTGCTGGGAAAGCAGAGCTTCTGATGTGGCAAACAGGTAGACTAAGCTAATTTATAGCTTAAGTCCTTTATTCCATCGTAAAGTAGCGAAAGGGAAGGCACGTCTCTCCTGTGGGTCACCTCTAATAGCCATCGCTTCAGCAAGATGGATTTCAGAATTAGGTGCTCTAGAAGCAGAAGCGGCGCGGTATTTCTCACCAGCACAAAGCAGCTGTAAGAGCAATCTGACCTTCATTCTTAAAAAATAAATTCATTGGGGGGGGGGAATCCATCTTTTTTTTTTTTCTACTGGAAGTGCTGTCAAAAGCAAAGCCAGGGCACAGCACACACAAAATAAAACCAGAAGACAACTTCTGCAAAACGATACAAAACTCCCAGAGATTTACTTTTCCTATTTTTTTTTACTTAAACAGTGGAAGAAAATCGGAGAGCTTGTCTACAAGTACATTGTTTTGGAATAAAGGATGGTGTTAATTTAAAGTGAGCCTATTCTAGACTAAACTGATACCATCTCAAAGTGTTTTTCAGATGTAGGGTGTGATCCAGCACCAAC